GATCACTAAAGAATGTGATGAAATTGTACTATACCCTTCCTATAAGATTCTTATCAGAATCTTATGAATTCTTACCAAAATCTTATGAATTCTTATAAAATAATTATATAATCTATCTTACCGAATTTTTATCAGAATCTTATAAGATTCTTATATTCCTTCTTATAAGAATCTTATCAATAAATTACGCATTGCCATCGACTGCCTTATATAAGATTCTTATAAGATTCTTATAAGATTTCTATAGAATTACCGTAAGATCGGTCGACTAGGGAGATAACTGCCGATAGGTATGCGCAAAAATATGAAAGAAGATAACCATAAACTATCCGAAAAAATTAATTTACTAGAATACGCTGTATCATACGAATGCTAGTCAGAGTTTTTCTTGAATAAAAATCAACAAGCAGTTCTTGATACTCTACAATAGTAGGATGATGAGGTTCATATATTTCGCTAGCAATAGTAAGTGCTTTCTTCATGCTGTTATATGCCTCTTGGTATTGACCGTTTCCATTTAAAGACATTGCAATATTACCGTATGTTATAACGAACGATGAATGTTTGTCCGGTAGTGAATGACGTTCAATACCGAGTGCTTTCTGATGATAGTTTACAGCTTCAGAATATCGTTTTTGGATGTAATTTATTCCACCAATATTATTTTATAGAATAGCAAGTGATGGATGATTGATAGACGATGTTTTAATTTGTATATCCATAGTTTTTTTGTAATAATCAAGTGCTTCGTCATAATTAGCTCGACAAGCATGTATCGCACCTATGTTATTTTCAGGTAATGAATCTAAAAGAATGTTTAAAGTATTTTTATAGGTACCCCAATGCCCCATCATACTTTTGTTCAGTATGATATAGTAAGCCTAGCTTGTTGTAGCTATATGCCAGTGAAGGATGATTGCTTGGTAAACACTTCAGTGTATATTCTAGTGATTCTGATAAATTTTACTGCTTCAGAATAATTACTCATCTCCTGAAAGACTGAACCGATATTGTTAAAATCACTTGCCAACTTTTTGAGATTTCTTGCATCTGCATTCGGCAAGTCGATTTCTAATGCTTTTCCGAAGTACATTATGGCCTGACTATAATCGCCTTGTTCATAATAAACAAAACCCATATTATTAAATGTTGAAGCAAAATGGGCATAATTTGCTGTCAGAGTGTTTTTCTTTATTTCCAACGATTTTCTGTAATAAAATAATGCTTTTGAAAACTCACCTTTGTGATCAAATGCCGATCCTAATCCGGTAAAAACAGACGAGAGACGGTAAGGGTCATCGTAGCTAAATGATTTATCGTCCAGTAGAAGCTGAAAGAAACGCTCACCCTACGAAAAATTTAGGCGTAAATGTGACAAAAAAATCATTAATTTACGCGCCTTTATACGGTATTACTTTGGCATGAAATACGGCACACGGAGGGTCTCAATAGGCATAACTTAGTACTTAAAGTTGGCGTCTCAATTCGACAATGAAAAGCGATTTGTTTATCCTGTACAACTCGTCGTTTTTCATCATATACCTGATCTGCATTAAAAGCACTTCTGATATGCGCTTGTATGCGGACGTTGAGATATGGCATCAATGCTGTTTAGTCGGTACATTTATACAATAGTATATGAGAATATATTTATTTTCGCCAGAAAAAGAAGATTTGGTTGACATCCTGCACATCAAATGAAAGCTCTTTGCATATACTGTCTGCTGATGTTGTTTTGTAAAGGTAGAAGTATGATGTTCTCTGGATCAAGATATGAAGGAAGCAAAATATAAGAACTCTCCCTTTAGTGAGCAATCCACCTGTCTAATATCAACAATGAATAAACCACCATTCCATATTGTTCATTATATATGTTCTATATAATTTGTTATGTGTTTTCTTATTCTTTTGATCATGATGAAAGAAATAGCTTAATCCTCACTACATTCAAAGTTCTTCCTTTAATAAAGAGTGCGTTTGTGCCATCTTCAAAGAATGACACATGACACACACTATATTAAGGGAAGCCGTCAAAATTCGCATCGGTGAATTTCATTCACCGGTAATTTGATTGGAGAGAAAATTGAGAACAAAATTATTCAATATGGCTGAAAAAAAGAATATGGAACTATCGTATAACAAAATGAACATGTATTCTTTTCTGTACTATACTTGACTTGATGTTTTTTTTCTTTCTATGCGCACTATAGAGAGAGATATAGCAAGAAATGGAGAAAACAGAACAAATTTTATCGTTTTATCCAAAAGAAAGATTCCTTCGCTATGAAATTCGAGTTTATTCTAGTAACTTCCCAGATTAAAAAGTTAACAAATTTGAAAGTACCCTTCTCCAGCTTTTCTGCCAGTTTGTAGTACACAACTTGTACTCTATAA